AACGCCGCAAGCTCTCTGGGAGTCACTGGAGCTGCTCTCACCGCCTGCTGCGTCTGTCACCACCGCACGCCCTCAGCACCGCAGTGAAGCCGTGAGCCCGCTGGCTCAGGCTGAGGGGATCACACACTGCAAAGCACTTCAGAGCTTCTGACGAAGCAGATCAGCGTTTCGAAACCCCGCGAGCAGAAACGCAGAGACTCTCTCCGTTCCCAGGGTCAGACAGCTTCCAGAGCTCCGATTTACACGGCCCATCACCAACAAGATGGGCAGAGGCAAACTGCTTCCCTGGGACCTGCCTGGACAAGGTCCTCTGCAGCCTGCTCTGGTTGACCCTGCTTCAGCAGGGGGTTGGACTGGGTGACCCACAGAGGTCCCTTCCAACCCCTACCGTTCTGTGATTCTGTGAATCTGTGACCCATCACATCACCTTCGCTAGATCATCGCTCCGATGCTTACAAAGCTCATAAGCGTTATATCAGGCAATTCTGGCTTCACGCTGCTTCCTGCAAGGTTGCCTGTCTCCTGGAGGGATGGCACTTTGATTTCCCAGCTCCAGAGGCAGCCCTGACGCTCCAGCACAGCAGCCCGGCGGGGATTCACGGGCACTTCCCCGGTGTTGAACGAGGCTTACGCCGCAAGCGATCCTAACGGCTCCTGTTCACGGAATCCCAAAGCACATCCCTAAAGCCGACGGAGCCCGAGACACCTTGAGAGAAATACCGAGTGGATCAAAATCAGCAGCCTGCCCTTTCCCTCTGTCCCAGCTTCCCTGCTGGATACAAGGCACACGTCTACACAGACTAAACAGACTCTGTTCTCCTTCTGTTTCTTCCGTCTCAGTGCATTCAGGCCAGGCAGTCAGGACTCACCATATATATCTGTAAATTTTTAAACATGTAAACCAACTTTACTTCATTTTCTTTCAATTTTTTAATCTAAAAATCTGATTTTCAAGGGAAAAAAAAAAAGCAGAGTGTAACGAAGACATGAAAGCAACAGTTTAGGATGGTATCCAAGAGTGTTCTCTAATGACTTTCTGAAAGGCAAAAGTCTCACTCTTGGAAGGCATTTAAGTGCCTAAAAGTCTTTAGGTGCCTGGACCCCCCCAAAAAGGGTTAATATTTGCTTGCAAAGGTGTTCTGTGTCACTCTTGGAAGGCATTTAAGTGCCTAAATGTCTTTGGGCACCTGGACCCCCAAAAAGGGTCAATATTTGCTTGCAAAGATATTCTGTGATTCTGTGAGAGTTAAGCAAATAAATAAGCAGAAATCACAGTTCATATTTGGTGAAGACCATACTGGCAAGGATTCTTGCTCAGTTAACCAAAGCATTAGGAATAATAATCCCAGATGGACACCAGTGACAAGGACAGTCAGACAGCACCTGAAGCTCCCTGACAGCAATCCTCATTGTTGATCTTCTCGCTTGCCCTGTGCCAATGGGGTTTTGCCTTCATTTTTTGTACTTTGACTTAACTAGCTGTCACGTTTAACTCATTTGTAGAAACTAGTGTGGACACATTAGTTCCTACCAATGTGCCAATTCTCTTGAGATTAATGGGAAATCCAGAGCTACTGGTCAGAGGGGTAGGTGGTCTGAACGGGAGAGAAGTGCAACCCAGAGAAATCACAAAGTAGCCTCGACTTGCGGATCTGGCGACCCACGCTCGAGAAAACAGTAAACAGCCTGCTGTGATGGCGAGGGAGGAGAGAGGCAGAGGCTCCGTGCTACGACGAACCGAGGAACTGCAAGGACAGAGGCGCCTGCTCTTGATGGAATAGAAATGTGACGGAACAGTTTGGGTAGTTTAAAATCACCACCTAAATATTGACATTTCTTAAAAATCCATAATAATGATTTTTTTTTTTCCCAGCTGAATCTAACATTACAAATTTAGCTATCAAGTATTAAGCAACAACCATGTGTTCGGGGAATGCAGAACCCTTCCCCTCTCCAAAGCCGCTTCAGCCCAACACATCTCAGAGTTGTAAAAAAGAAGAAATACCCCATTTTCACTCTGGGTGAAAGTTCTGGGTTGTCAAAAGAAACAGAAATAAATCTGTGTCATGTCTTGACATCAGAGGGGTCACACAGTCCTTCCTCAGACACCATGCCTGGCAAGAGATGGCTTTCCTGGTGGGAAGGCTCAGCTGGGTCTGGGCACTTCACGGTCCTGCTCTTGGTTGAGAAGCCGGAGAATCACGCTGTTCTACGTACTGTGTACACAGGCCTGACCTTTTGCTTTTGACGTATTACACCCAGTACTATCCAAGTGGTTATTTACACCACGCTGTCCTGCCAGAACAAACTTCCCCATCTGCATCCCAAACAACAAGAGCAGCACGCCAGCATTGCTTCAAACCAACGTTCCTTCGAGGAGGCTTTGCTAAGGGAAGGGCCTGTGTAAATACCTGGTTTGCCGCTCCCCCATCTCGCTGAGTACTTGGAGGAGGTGCTGTGTCTGCCTGCCACCACCCGCTCTAACTCCACCTCGCAATCACAGGTAGCTTTGTTCTTCTTTCGGCTCCCCAAATTGCGGCACGCTAAAGCAATCTGGATTTTGAAGTCACCAGAACTATCTCAGAATGATCTGTCTTCACATCAGGATAGAAATTTTGGCCCCATACTGCATTGTGCAAAGCCACATTGTCCAAGAAAGAGCTGCTCTGGGCAAAATGAACATTGTCCACCTTCTCTGCAAAAAGTCTCAGGCTTTTGAGGGGAAAAAACCAGTCTACAGTTCTAGGTCAGGGAAAGAAGCAGATGACTGGATCTCCCCAACTCTGTGGAGGAACAAACAGTACGGACTTCAGGGCAGCTGAGACCACAACTACTCTACTTTTCAGTCCTGTGCTCTACCAAAAAGTCCTTTTTGCTGTGAGTGAGGCTGTAGCAGCCCGTGGCCCCAGAAGAGGATGACCAGCTTTAAACACCAGTTAGTCGGCCCCAGCCTACTACCGACCATGCCTAGTCAAGAGCTAGAGAACACCATCATCTCAACAACCTCAGAGCAACTCCTCGCACTCGAAAATACGCTCCCATGAGTTTTCAGGCACGCTGCGAGAAGCACCAGCTGGAAGGCCTTTCTGCCCAGCAGGAGCCATGTTCTACCTCAGCAATATCCTTATTTAAAATACTTCAGTTTAGTTAGCAAAGAAAGATACTGCCGCGGCGATACAAATTAATATACGCCCAACAGAAGTCCTAGAGACCACACCAAGAAAGTGAAGCAAGCGTGCAGCTGGAAAGCTCTGACGCCCTGCTGTCCTGCTCCCACGCCATCTAGGCAACATTTCTTCTGTCTGATTTTTTCAGAGCATTCACTACAGTGAGGCAGAACTTTGAAGGGTGGCAGAGACACATTTGTGCGCTCTGACATCCCGTAAGACAGCAGCGACGCAAAAAACGGCAAGAAAAGTCAACGACAAAGTAGCACAGTTATAGAGCCACCGTCCCAACCCTTACCTTTCAGAGTCGCCTTCTTCAGCACCTTCATGGCATAAAGCTGGCCCGCATCAGATCCTTTGACCTTCCTCACTAGAAAGACCTGTAAAAAAGCAGACGTCTTGTGTAGGTGAGTGCTGAACTTCCACGGACAAGCCTTGCTGCGTTTGATAGAGGAACAGATGCCACAGTTCAGGAAATCTAACGAAAATTATTAGCTGAAAGGACTTCGTATCTATTTCACCTGCAATTGGTTGAGCTAGCTCTGGAAATCTTCACTTTTAAGCCTTTACTCCCTCCCAGAGAAAATATATTCAACATTATTGATTGCCTTTACAATTAACACGGGTGGATAGTCGGAATTAACGCGAGCACATCTCTTCATACTCTGACCTGCTTTACATGAATAAGGTTATGTCTCGTTTGTGCTTAGGAATGCGGAGCGGTTTAACATTATTGCCACACATTAAATTAAGGAGAAAAAACAGTTTGATGCAATTTACGCCACAAGCCAGGAATGGTGACTTGCCTAGGATGTCGCTGAAGCAAAAAAAAGTTCATACAGCTGAAAATCCGCTTGTGCATACTTAACCCAAAGCAGAACTACTTTGATTAACAAACCAGTTATTACAAGAAAGACAGTTTTCCCTGTTATAGTCTCCTACGCCACATCTTCTGACAGTGTAAATTTGTAATTGAAATAAAATAAAATTGTAGCTAAAATTGTACCTTTTATGTTTTACTCCATGCAACTATTTCTCCTCTGCCCCTACGTGCACCTGGGCACTGGAGGGGTGGCGAGCAAAGGAATCAGGAATTTTGTTTGGTCTTTAGAAGACTTTTGGTGTTCCAATGACTGGAAATAAAATAAGCGGGTCCTGTAGCTGACTCCCAGGAGCCACTTTCTCTGCTGAAGTCAGAGACACCAGCCACCAGTGTCCCTTCTTTGGCTTCCAGCACTGGTGTTACTGGACAGAAGCAGAAGGAAAGCCAAACGCAGAAATAAATGTATGCCCGCATACATAACATAGACTTATAAATATATAAATTAACAAACGCTAGGTGAAATCATGTAACTATTGAATGTCTAGTTGGCTTGCAAAAATCTGTGGCAATTATTTCATTCATTGCCTGTTCGGGAACCACGCCGCTTTGTTCGCTCTCTCCACCCAACATATAAAAGGCCAAAAAAAGAAAGGAGGAAGTCTGTTTCCAGCACGTTATTTGCAAGTTGAAAGACTCTTCCTCCTGAAAAAAAACCCCTTGCAAACACATTATGCTTTCCTCAAACACCCTTTGAGGAAAAGGTTTGCGGGGAGGGAGAACAACTTTTAACCACCAGGCAGAGAAGCTGAAAAATAAAAAAAAGGGTAAATTCTCTCTGAACACCTTAACCAGGCTCTTGCGCCTGGCGGCATCGCAGCTACGACGCTCCTACAAAACGAGCTGGTATGTTTTTTGGTGAGACTTTCCTTCTCAAGATGTTCCCTGTGCGTATGGGACACGCGCCGCTCGCTCCCGGCTCCTGCTTCCCGGCGCGACGAACACACCGGGACCTCCAGCGCTCACAACTGCAGAACAGATGATGACATCTGGATGCCACAGGAACACGTCAGGCTTTCTGAAGTGTTTTTCATTAACGGTCGTGACAAATTAAGCTCAGCTGCTCCAGCATTAATGGGAAGCCAATTCATTTAGAAGTTCGGCTAAACAGAGAAACGCTGGGATATTTTTCTATCCAGCCCAAGGAAAAGATTTCATTTTTGCATGATGTTGAAAGGGAGGAGAAAGGCAAAAGCAAGCTTGCCCAAATGCTAGATTTCTAGTTGTATTATTATTCTATATAAACAGCTACAGAATCTTTATCCAACAAACAACCCCCCAAACCCTTAGGATGATGATTTTCGGCTGTACTGCACACAGAACAGCACAGCGTGCTGCATCTGCAGAATTATTAGTCTGCAGTTCTAGAAATCTTTTATCGGCCATGTAATCTTGCAAAGCTTGTACTACCCATATCGCTGTCACAAGCAAAATTCTCAGTTTGGGTTACCAGTCACTAGTCAGCTGTTCCCTGTGGCACGGGATGGGGCACTCGTCTGCGTTCCCTCCGAAACAGATGACTCAAGAACACTGTGTGCTGTTTCAGAGGACTTCAACATAATCACCACACCAAAAAGGAAACAGAACAAAGGAAAATGCGTTGTATTGCAAAATGATGTCGTCCTTCTGATTACTCTTAAAGTCACATTGTTCCTGAAACTACCAAGCGGTCTTGGAGTGCTGACCTGACTGGTTGTATTAGCTATAGAATCATAGAATCATAGAAAGTTTTGGGTCGGAAGGGACCCCCAGAGGTCATCTAGTCCAACCCCCCCGCAGCGAGCAGGGACACCGCTAACTGGATCAGGGTGCTCAGAGCCCTGCCCAACCTGGGCTTGAAGGTTTCCAGGGATGGGGCCTCCACTACCTCTCTGGGCAACCCATTCCAGTGTTTCACCACCCTCATTGTAAAGAATTTCTTCCTTATATCCAGCCTAAACCTACCCTGTTTTAGTTTAAAACCATTACCCCTCGTCCTGTCACTGCTGTCTCTACTAAACAGATTGTCCCCATCTTTCCTATCGGCTCCCTTTAAGTGCTGAAAGGCTGCAATCAGGGCTCCCCGCAGCCTTCTCTTCTCCAGGCTGAACAAGCCCAACTCTCTCAGCCTGTCCTCATAGGAGAGGTGCTCCAGCCCTCGGACCATTTTTGTAGCCCTCCTTTGGACCCGCTCCAACAGCTCCATGTTCTTCTTGTGCTGAGGGCTCCAGAGCTGAACGCAGGACTCCAGGTGAGGTCTCACCAGAGCAGAGTAGAGGGGCAGAATCACCTCTCTCGACCTGCTGGCCACAATACTCTACCAGTTTGTCAGAATAGCACAGGCACGCAACTGAGCATGACTTTCAAAATTCTAGTTTGATATGCATGCAAACACCTCATGTTATTAATACACGAACTAGCAAAACTCCCTTAGCTGGAGCAACAGGTATGTCGCCCAAATCCTGGCCTGGAAAGCCCTGTGACTTTCACGAGCGTTGAGAGCGCTCCCTCTGACACCAAAGGCATCTTTAATTCTGCAAGAAACTATTTAGGCCTCAGATGAACAACTTGAAAACCAAGGGGTTTGCATCCCCAGAGACTCATGGGTGCACACTGCTGGGTCATGTCCAGCTTTTTGTCCCCCAGCATCCCCAAATCCTTCTCTTGAGGGCTGCTCTCCATCCCTTCCATCCCCCAGCCTGTGCTGATACTGGGGATTGCCCCGACTCAGGTGCAGGACCCCTGCGCTTGGCCCTGTTGAACTTCATGAGGTTCACATGGGCCCCATTTCTCCAAATTGTCCAGGTCCCTCTGGATGGCATCTCGTCCCTCAGGTGGGTCAACCGCACCACACAGCGTGGTGTCATCTGCTCAGCTTGCAAATTAGGCTCACTGTTCCACAGGTTTTTAAGTCTTTTTTATTCATACCATGGAAAGAGTTTAAGACTGAATGACTCCTCCCTATTTCTCCCCATCTTTCCTTCCCATTCGCATTTCTAGCTGACAAATCCTTTTTTTTGCTGAAGAAGAATTGCCTTTGAGATTAAGAAAAGCCTTGGACTTCAGATCAAAATGTTGCTTCTACACAAATTAGCTCGTGGTCAGTCAGGCAGGTATTTTCCCTCTTGTCGCAACGATTGCTCTCTTCAGCACTGGGATTTGACTCCAGGATCCTCCCAGCAAAGCGCCCAGTCCTCTGAGTAGGCATTGCATGTCCCTCTTTACATCCCCCAACTAAGCAGCAGCAGCATGCTCCCCTCCATGGTGGGCAGGTTGGAAATGGGGGGGTTGGTGCCTAATTTCATTAATGATGCTTACTACTGCTCACTTGTGCTCATTAGTCCAGGTCCAGAGCCATAAGCACTGTCTCCTCAACTGTTTTATATAAAGTAATCCAGCTAAAAGACAAAAATGTCCCTCTTTACATCCCCCAACTAAGCAGCAGCAGCATGCTCCCCTCCATGGTGGGCAGGTTGGAAATGGGGGGGTTGGTGCCTAATTTCATTAATGATGCTTACTACTGCTCACTTGTGCTCATTAGTCCAGGTCCAGAGCCATAAGCACTGTCTCCTCAACTGTTTTATATAAAGTAATCCAGCTAAAAGACAAAAACATTATTAAAATGAAGATAGCAGGGGTTTGGGCTTGCTTATTTACCTTTACAATATAATTTACAAGTGGACGTTACCAGTGTAAATGAACTCTGAGAAAGAACATGACATTTTCAATCTAGGTGATTAGATGGCATTAAAAATTACCTTTCCGTATGAACCTTGTCCTAATACTTTCAGCAGCTCAAACTGAGAAGGATCTGCTTTTTCAAAACCTTCCTTCACATGATGACTGATGTCTATCTCCTTCACGATGCCTTCTTCCTGCGAAGGAAACAAGAGAAAACAAAACCCCCAAATCAGAGCTGCCATCCTAAGGAAGCGTGGTGTTTGTTATAGCTCATCTTCTGTGACGCCTCAATCACAGAATCACAGAATCACAGAATAGTAGGGGTTGGAAGGGACCTCTGTGGGTCATCTAGTCCAACCCCCTGCTGAAGCAGGGTCACCCAGAGCAGGCTGCAGAGGACCTTGTCCACGTGGGTCTTGAATGTCTCCAGAGAAGGAGACTCCACAACCTCCCTGGGCAGCCTGTTCCAG